ACTCTGCTGCTAAACTCGCCATGTGCCGCTGTTGGAGATTAGCTGAGGACCACACACTAGCATCAACCGATAAAGGACCCACTACTACTCGCTGCCGTTTTGACTGCTGCACGATCCTTTTCCCTTTGCGATTCTCTTTCGCTTCGCTCCGCCGGAGACAGTTTCGAATTAACCGCATACTGAAACCACAATGGTGATGATGGGCTCTTGTACAAGGCTGCTCACCAAAAGGTCAGTGAGGAAGTCTGTTTGTACTACCATTACTCTCAGAAGCTCCGCGAAGCACTCGACTGAAAACACATACATTTACTCATACCACTCTTCCCTCAACACACACGAGAATACATCCCCACACTACCTGTGTCCTCATGCAAGCTAGAGCTGCTGTCCCTCAATGCCGTCGCCAACAACGACATGAGCGTACCAACCTTATGCAACTTCGCCTCTTGCGAAATACTATCATCTCGTAAAATTCTAATCGCCGAATCCACAAAGGCCTGTGGCCACTTATATCTACACCCAACTTAACAAGATCGACCAAGACACTCGTAATCAATACAGCTTATATCCTCTAACCGAGAGCAGCTCCGAATCGTTAGAGGGGTCCTCACTATAGAACTGCGTGTGCCGAGCGTGATGCTGGTGATTAAAATGAGCCACTTGCTTCACCAACGTTAGTATCTGGTAGCGCAAATTCTGATAAAAAAAGTGTAAAATTCCAATCCTCCTTACCGGGTGACCATAAGTCATATGTCCCCAACATGGAGGTAGTTTATCACTGACCGCCGCCTCGGCAACTTTTTCCATACCCCCACACTCCACAAACAGACATGAGCTGTCGAGGCCGTCCAAAACTCTATCCACGACGTACCTGGCAGCAGTGGTATTGGTGATCCGGTAAGAAGTCATTTTACTCTTTTTATATCAGAATGTGCGCCTCTTGATATCAATGCGTTAGTGACAATCTGGATACTGTTTATAAATTATCATTTATAAACACTTTGACAAAATTTCGCTGAGTTCTCGTAGTGTTTCTTATACACTTCTACCCGAATTCGTATGTAAACTTCTAGTGAGGGAACTCCTGAGCTCAGTTGAGGAAAGCGATTACATATACTCCTCCAACGCGTTAGTCGTGAAATATGTTTTTCACTAGTGTTTTTCATATCACTAGGGTGAAGAAACTCCCGTGTGGTGGGAAAATATGCACATGGTCAACTACATGTGTTGGTGGCAACATGGAAATTTTGACAAAATTTTCCTGAATTCTTGTACAGTTTTCTATACACTTCTACCCGAATTCGTATATAAACTTCTATAATTAGCCTTGGAAACTCCCGAGCTCAGCTGCGGGAAAGCGAACACATATTCCTACTCCAACACTGCTAAGCGACTGCCCCTAATCTCACCGGCAAGCGTTGGCGAATTCGTCAATATATGTGTTGTGGACGAAATCTATGTACACCGGTTCCCCTTGGTAGTTCTGAGGTCCTATAGGCTCCGACCGAACCATATCATCTGCTACTGAGCGCAGCACGTCATCAGTCCAGGTTCGGGCAGCATCTGAACCATACCACACTTGCGCCTCCTCATGACGTGGTGTAATATACACAACGGTGGAAAGTTGGAATTCCGAAAATTACAGCAGAAATGCACAAACTTCTACTACTATCGCTACTACTATCACTACTTCTACTGCTACTACTACTACTGCTACTACTACTACTACTACTACTACTACTACTACTACTACTACTACTACTGCTACTACTGCTACTACTACTACTACTACTACTACTACTACTACTACTACTACTACTACTACTACTACTACTACTACTGCTGCCAGTTTAGTCTGAGAAAAGCCTCGAAAAATATGAATAATTTCCCACAATTTTACATAACGTTTTCCTATCCGCCTCAGCTCACACTGTTGAGTAAAAAAAATTAAATTTCAAAATCGCATAAAAACCACCTCCCACATAACCGACCTTCGTTATTATTATAATAATCATTGATCATACCCAGCATCTTCACCGAGTTGACTATAGTTTTCCTATGATTTCTCTCATTCTCCGGCGTCTCCTCTCTAAGGGTGGTCATAATCTGCTCAGCCAGGGACACCCCACGGTGTCTGGCCGACTCTACCACTGCTGGTGTTATCTCTGCCATTCTTGTTGGATTTGAATCCATGGTAATATCAACA